TGCAGGGTTGCACACCGAGGGGTTGGGGGGGGCGTCCCCATTGTGGTCCTGCAGGATCTGCACGCGGGTTCAGGCATTGCCATACCATTTGTCACTGTGAGCAGAGTGGTGTGAGCATCTTTGGGTGTTTGCAAACACTCAAAGCAAAGATTTGGTGAAGGCTTGTGACAGGTTGTGGTGGCCAGGTGACAGATGTCAGTCGGTGGGGACAAGAGCAAAGGGGGAGAGGTTTGTGCAGGAAGGCTGTACGTTGTACCGGGCTCACACTACGCGGTAAAGAGAGGACAGAACCCTTTGGCCAAACATCAAACTAAAAGCAAACCAAAAAATTGAAGGAAGTTCTTGGGAGCGGCAGGATGGTTTCCTCACTTGTCCAAAGTTAAGCTGTGGGATATGCTGATGTGGGGTGTTTGGAGGCCAAATGTATGAGTGGTTCCAAAAATTCACAGAGCTGGGGTGAGAGCTGGCTGCTGAGCACAGCATCCGACACAAAACTTATTTGGGCCAAATGCCTTTGTTTTCTGATTGATGGCAAAAGCCAGAAGACCCCGACAGGCAACATCAGGCACAGTGCAGGAGGGGAAGGGGTTGCTGGATGCTGCTGGCACATGAGGGAGCAAGTAGCAGAGCTCAATGCCCTGGGAAGACCGTGCGTGAGGGCGAGACTGGCTCAGTGGAGGGTCCAGGCTTCCCAGTGAGAGCATTCTACCACCCACCCAGACCTGCCTTGGGACTTAGCTGAAAACTACAGCCAGTATAGTGTAACTGTCATGCTGGCCTGTTCCTGGGCAAATAAAGGTCCTGACCCCCCATGGAAAACATCCATGAGATGTTGCCACTGTGGTGGGGCTCTCCATACGGTGGTCCAGCGGGCTCCGAGCCTCTTAGTGCCTCCTCCTGATAGATTTGTTGAATGTGCTGGGAGCAACCCAGCACCGCACCACCAGCACCGCAACACCAGCACGTCACCTCTCCTATTGTTGTGTAGTTTCAGCAGATGAGGGGATGGTGCCCAGGACTTTATCAGGGCCTGTCTGTGGGCTGTGACTGCTGTGCTGCCCTGAAGTCCTCCAGCGCCTGCAGGCTTGGAGCAGATGGGGAGCTGTGCTCCTGTAGATCATTTTGTCAGTGGTGGTCACTGAGGTTTTTTTCTTCTCAGGCCTCAAGAGGCCAGGACTTGCTCAGGAGCCTCTGAGCATGGGGCAATTTCCGTGTGTTGCTTAATTTTCAACTGTTACTCTATCGCTTGCACCCCAAGCAAAGCTAAAGCTTTAGTCCTTTAAAACAGAGCTGTTATATCAGGAAGTTGTGGTTAGAGAGAAACACTGCCCATCTTGTTCATGTCTGCAGAGCTCCTGGCTTGGGACTCACATGTCAGAGTGGACATAAAACTAGGGACATGCTCCTGCGGCTGCGAAGCAGCAATCCCCAGCGCGGACTGCAGGGGATTTGCTGCAGTGAAAGCAGGGAGCGGTAGTGTGAGCTGCACTGGCTGGGCAGCAGCGTTTGTGTAAGCCAGGGGACACAGGGAGATGATTTCATCTTTGCATGCAGATCAGGGCTGGACTGAGCAGATGGCAAGGAGAAATTCCAACATCATGGGGTGTCCCCGCTTGCTCTTGCTTGGGTGTTGGTGTTGGCAGGAGCTGCCTGTCATAGAGGAAGGTCCTCTCTGCCTGCATTCCCTGAGCCTGACCCGCTTTCACCATGCAGCCAGGTGCAGCTGACCAGGATCTCACCTGGGAGTTAATTCCTTCTGACCTGTGCAGTAGCTCAGCTGCCACCTCTGTGCACTTTCACTGGGAGGAAGACTCCGGTGCTGGAGAAGGGCAAGCAAGAGCCAGCAGCTGGGAGCTGAAGCTGAAATTGAAATGAAAAAAGAAATTAGTTGCAATATTTCAGCTGTGACATAATGAGCTACTGCTGTGCGTGGCCAAAAGGTGAAATGAATGCCTGGTCTCCATCCTCTTTAAATGCAGCTTGGATGTCTTTCTGGAGACCGCTGAGTCCCACACGGGGTATAGGTTCATGCAAGGTTGTCTTGTGCGTGTTAATGCCATGTCTATGCAGACAATCAGATGACGTGAACTGACAGTCACTCTCAATCCAAGTTTTTCTGCACTCTTGAAAACTAGTGAGAAGGGAGAAGTGTGCTGTGACCCCAGCACCCAGGAAATCACAGACAGGGATGAAAACAGATCTGGAAGAGCTGGAGCCACAGGGTCCTTCTGTTCCTTGGGCTCACCTCTGAGAGGCAGAAATACTGGTGCCAGTGACTTCTGCAGTGGTTCAGCCAGCAGCTTTAATCAATGGTGTGGGGATCTTTGCACAGCAAAGAGTCTTAGTGCATGCAAACAGCCATCAGCAGGCGCACGCTTGCAATGGAGAGCAGCACCAGTGTGAGATAAATCAGTAAACACAGCAAGAACCTGTCCTTGAGCAAGGAGAGCCCTGGCATGGTGTGCACTGGGGCCTGGCAGCGGTGTGGGCAGCAGAGGGAAGGAGCGCTGAGCTGCAGGGAGAGGACGTCCGCCAGTTTTCCACCACTGGAGGCAGGTCCCCAAAGGGGAAGTCACCCAGCTCAGCGAGTGCAGAACCAGATCTGTGCCTGCAAGGCAAATGAATGTAGGTAAAAGTACAGTCAGGGAAGAGAGCTTAGGGTTTCCTGTGCCAAGTGCCAGATATGTAATGTCTTGCCTTGTGGCCAGTGACTGTACTTGTACACACTTCACAGTCCTTGGAGGGAGTGCTGCCTCTTGGAGCCGGGCTCACTGCATAGTGGGAGCCTGGCAGGGAACAGTCCTGAAGGTGGGGATGGGTCACTTGTGGACCGAGGTTACACCTTCAGGGAGAGGATTCTCAGGAGAAAGGAAAAGGAAGGCCACGGATGTGGGTGGTCTGAGCATCTGTGTGTGGAGAGCTGAATTTCTGGTAAAAAGCGAAGTATAAACATGACTGGCATCACAAGGGACCTAAGCAGGCTCCAGGGACATTTTGGGAGGGAGACAGCCATCCTGGTCAAGGTGGGTCCTAGCAGCAGAGGGGAGTGAAGGGAAGAGAGGCTCTGGAGGCCACTAAGAAGTTGGAGATCAGGGTCTCAGTGGCAGCAGACTCCAAATTGCTCCCTCCCAGTGCCACGTACAAGGGCAGGTGAGGAAGGGAAGAGGCTGAGTCTGACTGTGTGGCTAAAAATCTGCTGTAGGGTTGAGGAGATGAGAGACATTTGGAACTGGGAAAGCTGCCCTGGTGTAGCCTCTGCAACAGAGATGAGCTTCACCTAAGCCAAAAGGGCTTCGCCTGAGGAAGGGCAAAGGGATGTCTAAGGTTAGCAAGATGACTCCCACGTGCAATGGCTCAGACAACTGCAGGCAGCTGTGGCCCAGGAGGGGACTGTGCCCGCCTCGCAGCGGCACTCACAATAACCATGTGGTTGTGAGGGGGATGTGTTAGCCTGGATTAACCTAAAGTAATTTTCTGAACATGGGGGGGTATGAGCATTTCCGACAGCTTTGCCAAAGGACAGTGGTCAGATGCTTCAGGTGCCCTATCCCACCACTGCCTTTCTGACATTGGTTCATGGGGATCTCTTTGAACCATAATACTGGATTCCCTGGATTTGCAATGCTTGGTGTGAGCATAGTCCTGCGGTCCTAGAGGTCTTACGGTAATTGCCCCATGAATCTCTATTTGAGGGCTTGACTGGAAAACCTCAGTTCCAAACTGGGCTGGACTAGAAGGTGCAGGTGCTAAGAGTTGTGGGTGGCAGCTCTTCCCTGGGGAGCAGAAAGTCTGGCAACTCCTGTTTTGGGGTGTAAATCCATAACTCACTTTCTCAACATCCCTGTGCACTGAACTCTGGAAACATGCAGGCAGATAAGTTTCCCATACTATTGCTCCTTGGGTAGCTAAATGTTTATGGTGACATCCGTGCATGCCACAGTCTTGACTGTGCTGACCCATGCAGAGCCTGACTCACATTCTCCTCTACTACATGAGTTCAGCTGCGTGGCTTGGCTGATGCGGCGCACAACAGAGGACAGTGGTACCCACCCACCCACACAGCTGTTAAATAGCCTTAGTTGTAGCTTGCAAGTCCACCCTGAGCTGTTCTTTGTATTCCCAAATTGCTATAAAACTGTTTGCTCCCACAAATCAGTGTTTATGGATCTTAAAAGCCTGTGCCCTGTCTTTGAGCTCTGGCACCGTCAGGACAATGCTCAGAGTGCAGGGCCAGCCTGATGTGGGAGCTGTCAGGGGCTCACATCAGTCTGGTGAATGGGTCACACGTGAAACACCGTCCCCAGTCAGGAGCGACGTGGAGAAACCAGAGAGGGTCAGTGGATGGTAACAGAGAGGCAGAGCTGAGCTGATTTAGCTGGGTGAAGAGAGGGTGTCTGACAGCAACCACAACTCATCCAAGGGCAGTTATAGGCAATGTTGTTAAGCTCTTTTGGGCGCCATCGGATGATATAACATGCAGCAACATGCACTTGACGGCTCAGGAAGTTCAGGCTGGGCATTAGGAAAAGTTTCTTCTGCAGAGGGTGGTGCAGCCCTGCAAGAGGTCACTAGAGAGGTGACCTTGGGGGGTTTCAAAGCTCAACTAAGCAAAGCACAGCCAACCTGATCTGGTATTGAAAATAAACCTGCTCCCAACAAGAGACTGCATGAGAGCTCTTCCAAGCGGTACTTGTATGAAATAACACCTGTAACACAGTCTCTCATAGGCAGAGAGTTTAGATGCCTCCAAACATTTCCCCTCAGCCACCTACACCTCCTCCTCTCAGCCCAGGAGTGACACTGACAGTGATGGAAATATAATTTGTAACTAACAGTCTCTTGCCACTGAAATCCACATTTTCTGTCAATGCTGTACGTTCCTTTTTCTAGTATATTTTCCAGTTCTCTCTTAATGCTTGACCACTTCTTCCAGAAGAACAACGGGAAGGCTTGCAGATATTTAAGATATACACGGACTACTCCCACTAACTAGATCATCACCTGTCTGCTGGCAGGACAGTCCACCTTGGGGATGCTGAGACTTGTGCTAAGCCCTGTGGGTTACAGAAATGCGTGTATGGATGTAGTCAGTGACCATCTCCTCTGCATTTCTAGGCCTTGGATGCTGACCGAGCTGTGCTGCAGAAGATGAGGAAAGCGGCCAAGGCGGAGCACAGCTGTGGACAAGGTCAGGGCAGAATGGAGCCTCAGGAGAGGGGAGGCAGCGATGGATGGATGAGGGGAGTCCTTGCTGCAGGTTGGGCTGACCACAGCAGGGAATATGGGTCTCAGGGGTCCCTATAGCTGGGTGGTAGTGATGGGGGCAGCAGGAAGCAACAGGAGCCGGCTTGGGTGTGTGAGCAGAACCAGGCATGGTGAGTCCTAGGAGGGAGGCAGAGGTTGGGTATTCATCCTGACCTTCCCCCTGCACTCACTGGAGACCATCCATGTTCCCTCAGACCTTATCAGCCACCTCGAAGCCCACATCACTGCCCAGGAGAAGTTCTCAGCCAACTACCAGCTGGAGGGCGAGGACCAGCTGGCCAGTGCCTTTAGCACCTTTGCTGCCTTCTCCCAGGAGCTGCTGACCGCTGTCAGGAGCCTGGTAGGCAGCTCTGTCCCCTGCATGTACATCAGAGTGGGGCCCCTGGTTTGCAAGGGGATGCTGGCCGGCGTCCCCAGGAAGAGCAGCAGGCTCTGGGCCACAGCCTGGAGGTCCCAGCTCATCCCCTTCCCCAGATGGAGGCAGGAGGCCATGGCATGTGGTTGCAGAGCCAGTGGCACAGTCTGCACAGCCGGGGCCACCTGTGCAGCCTCTGAGGCAGCTCAGAAGAGGCCTGTGGAGGTCTCCTGTCCACCATTCTGCTTGAAGCTGGGCTTTCACCAACACTGGGTCAGGCTGGCTGTGACTTTTTCCAGCTTGGTAATTTCCAAGGATGGAGGCTTTCAGCTGGCTATTTTCTCAAGGGGTTCCTCTGCAAGCTCACAAACATCTCTGCTTTCTCTGTGCAAGGAGTGGTGCATGGGTGCAGTGCTAGCAGCGTGATCTCTCTCTTTCCTTTCCAGTGGCAGAGTTTGTACCACAACATTAACTTTTCCCTGGAGTCATTAATAAAGGGTGACATGAAAGAGCTCAAAGGGGTAAGCAGGGGCTGAAAGGGCTGCTCTGATGTGGGGGTGGTGAGTGAGTGGCTGGAGACAGAGCGGGTACCAGCTGTGGGGTCCCGTCCCTGGCTCGTGTCTTGCCCTCCAGCAGGGATACGTTGGAAGGGCAGGTCTGCCTGCACCTCCTGTGTGCTAGATCCTCCTCCCTCCTGAGGCTGGCACCTCCCACCATGCATCAAGCCAGCGGTGCCCCTTAGCTGGGATGTCTGCCTGTTTGCAGGCATCTGGCTGAATCCGGAGGAATCTGGTGGCATTCACTATGTGGAGAAAAATCAGGGTGTTGTGCACCAAATATTGGTATCTTCCCTGGCCATCAGTGCACAAACTCCCCCACAACCTCCCAGTGAGGTCCACTCCCCCCCTAAAGACCCCCACATGACTCTTGTATTTATGTGTGTGAGCACACACGTGTTGGTGTGAATCTGAGCGTGCATGTGCATGTCTACCAGCTGCAGGTACCTCTTAGGGACTGCAGAGTAGCAAGTAGCGAAGTGACCACACAATTTGATCTTCAGGACTGTAGAGATATCAGAGCGCTTCACAGCATTCATCAGTGTAGATTTTAGGAAAAGCATCAAACTCATATTTAATTTTTGCTTTTTTTAACCAATGGGAAGGTCATCACAGTCTTGGTAAGTCTGCACACATGTTACTACCACTAAGTCCCTGTGGCTGTGCTCAGGCCATCAGCTCTGTGTGATTGCCCCTGGGTGCCTCTGCCTGCATAGCGGCACCCATGCCGGTGAGTGTTCAGGGTGAGGGGGCTGGACCAATCCTAATTGCGATGCTGGAGCGAGGTCACTCTTGAGGGATTGCTGATCATAGCCTGCACTGAACATGGTGGAGCTGCTGCCAGTTGTGACCTGGCACCGTTCTGCTCTGGGTGGTTTTGGGCACAGAGACTCTGCGAGCAGAGTATGCATGACTTGAAATAGTACAGCAATTATTTATCAACTGATGCACACACAAAATTGTTAGGATTTAATGAGCCTGGCGTTAATACACTCAGCACCATGATGAGACACCTGAGGACTCATGCTGGCTGGGCAGACCAGCTTGGGAGGAGCAGGGACAGTGCTGCTGCTCCCTGCAACAGATGCTTGCTATTGGCCGTTGCCGCCTTCCACCAGACCTGCTGATACTCTGACAACCCCCCTGTGTTTTCTTCTTTTAGGATTTTATATTTTTCTGTGATACTATTTTTCCTCTTGAATCCTTGAGCTAATAACAAACCTGTTTCAACAACCCGAACTCCGTAATTTTACCTTTTTAATCTTCTATGGTTCCACTCTATAGTTTCTCCCACCTTTTTCTTCCAGCTCTGCAGTTTCCTCAGATGCTTGATGAAGGTTTTGCAGCTGAGCTGTATCAGAACTGGGGTGGGTGTCCTTGAGCAAACAGCTGAACCTCTGGGAAAGTGAAGGGAAAGTTTTGGACAGGATTGCAGGAAGAGGGATGGGAACTGTGGCAGGGTTTGGGGGCTTCCAAAGGACCAATTGCCAAATTACAAGCATTTAGGCACCCATTTGGAAGCTTGTGCTATACAGGAGCATGAAAGTGCAATGAGAGCACAAGCTCTGGAACTTCTGGTGTGAAGTGAAGTGATACAAGAATATAAAATACGAAGGAAAAAAAATCCACTATTTGCATTGTTAAGGATGATGTCAAGAAGATTGGAAACAAAGAAAACAGGCAGAGAGAAAAAAAAAAAAAAACAAACAGCTGCCCACAAGGAGTCATGATTAAGCTGAAGAGATCCGACAGGAATCAGAGGCTGACCTGAATTGTTTTGACATTTTCATTAGAATGGGGATAAATGCAAGATCTGTCCCAGCAAGGTTCTGCCTTGACATAAATAAAGAAATTTCACCTCGGGGAGCAGAGAGACATTTGGACAGGGACCCAGAGAGGCTGTGGGATCTCCATCCTTTGGGTTTTTCAACATCTGCCTGCACAAAGCCTGGTCTGAATTCAGTGCTGTCCCTGCCTTGAGCATGAGGTTAGACTAGAGTGCTCCTGAAGTCCCCTCCTACCTGATTTACTCTGTCTTCCTTTGACACAGAGGTTTGTAGAGCAGTGAGTGGTGAGAACAGGGCAGAACATGGGTGATCTGAGTAAATGCATTTAATGGACCAATGCAGATGAACATACCAAGATGGTAACCACTGGAGAGAAGCTAAAATCACGCAGTCAAACGAGAAACAAATGATGGCTTTTTAGCAGCAAGACTGATTCACCATTAAATGAATACGGGGGAAGAATCAGATTGTGCTGCTGTTGCCACATTTGGGTGGGTTTCTGATGTCTCTCTGAGGGGTGTTTTGGTTAAACATGACATTCTGGCTTCAGCAGGTGAGAACCTGGTTGGTACTTTCTGGGTTGTGCATGTCTGAGCAATTCCTTCTGCCCTTAAAATTGTGAGTCTGTGAAAGCTGTTGTAGCTGGGTACTGCTATGTACATACCTATGTGATGTATATATATGCGTGACGTATGTTTTGGAGCCTATCGTATTTGTGTGTGTGTGTGTGCAAGCATGTGCCTATGGGTGAACCTCACTGGTGAGCGCAGTTGTCCACTGTGCACCAAGGAGAGGCGAGGACCTTCCTGGGGAGGGACACTCCTGTGGACAGCCATGTTCTGGGTCTGCAAGGGCCTTTATGCTGGGGTGACCCAGTGGGAGTGCAGTATGCTGAGGATGAGGAAGGCTCTGTCCCAGTCGTAGTCATTAAATGGTGCCTTTGGCTCTTCCTAGGAGTTCAAGAAGCCCTTTGAGAAGGCCTGCAAAGACTATGAGAGCAAACTGTAAGTCTTCAGGCTCCCTCACCCTGAGGCCTGCACTTGGAGGCTGTTTTTTTGTCTGCCTTCGCCAGCAGGCAGTTGGACAGAGACTTTCACGTGTCTCTCCTCTTTCCTTGAGCGCCAAGATCGAGAAGGAGAAGCGCGAGCTGGCAAAGCAGCACGGAATGGTGCGGAGCGAGGTGAGCGGGGGGGAGATCGCCGAGGAGATGGAGAAGGAGCGCAGGACCTTCCAGTTGAACATGTGTGAGGTAAGGACAGGGACTAGCCTGTGCCGCGTGGAGCAGTGTTAGAGTCACTGAATTGGCATCCAAGGGATGAATTTCTCCTCCATTGGTGCACAGCAACTGTGCCACAGCCCCAGCAGAGCCTGGTCTGGAGCAGGCAGACATCAGCAGTGACTCTCATGCTGGTGTTTCTCACTTGCCCTCCAAACTGGGATTGTTTCAAAGCACATTTCTTTGTCTGAATCCACACTGATTTTTCATGTGGGGCCATCTTCTGTCCCTGGTCAGTGAGTGATGCTTGTGTACAGGGTATTGCAGGTCCCTTTTTGCCTTCCTGGGATGCTGAAGTCCCCTGGACTCTGCCCTGGGCACCAGCAGCACCCAGCAGCTCCCTCTGCTCAGCCCCTGGAGAGCAGCACTGAGGTGGGCTGCAGATCCCCAGGGACCATTGCTCAGCAGGTCATGTCTGTTGGGCTGGCGAGACCCTGGCCATGTTCCCTCAGTTGGAGAACTGCCTGGGTTGTGGTAGACTCAAGCCAACCTGAGGCAGGGGCTGATCAAGGAGTTTAGCCAAAGCTTGAGCCTATATTAACCTGGCAGTAGAGATAACAACTTGGGAAAAAAACCCACGAAGGCTTTGGATCCAAGCTTCTTCCTGACTGCCCATGGTGGGTGCTGCTGGCACTGAGGTCCCTGCTCCCTCTCAGATGGTCCCACCATAGCCCTCTGTCTGCTTATTGGGATAAACTCAGCCCAACTCCCCTGCAAACAGGATTTCCTGCTCCCACTGCCACAGGTCACAAGCAACAGCATGAGTAAAAGATAGGAAGATACTGATTTAATTCAAAATACCCAGCTCTTTGTAACTATGTTTTGGAAATAACTACTGTTTCTGTAGTGAAACTGTTGTTCTACTTCAAATGTCAGAAGCCATTGTGCTGCAGAGCTGCATCGTCCTTAAACAGAGCCAGTAGGTCAGGTGGAAGTTTCATTCTGTGCTGATGTGAGTCCACATGTGGCATTCGGGTTCCTGAGAGGGGTGTCTTCTGGGAAACACTTCTTCTGATGGATCGAGGGTGTTTTGAACAATCCCCTCGGACTAAATACAGGGAAGTCTGAGGCTGGCCATGTTGAACATGTATTTTGGAAGGTGATTTACTATGTTGGCCTGTGGGTCTTCTGGAAATAGTTGTTTGTAGGTTGCTGTTTTTACAGTAGTTGCAATGTCAAGAGAGCTGATGCTAGTGTAGGAGTTGTCCAGAGACGCATGGAGAAATACTCAACGTGTTTCGCAGCACAAAACACTGTTTAACATTGTCAGTCCACCGACTGAAAGGGCCAGTGTTGGTTTTCACGGGTGAGGTTGTTATGGTGGAGGATGGGCTGGGCGAGGTGGCAGATAAGTTTGGGCTGGAAATCTGAACCTTCAGCTCACTTCTGAAGGTCTTCAAGGCAGGCTGAGATGCCAGCTGCATGTAGGTCATAGGCAGGCAGGCAGGCTCACAGCACTGACATCGGTATAGGGTCAGGTGGAGGTGATGCAGTTCATGGATCAAGTCTAGTGGGTCTTGGAGGAACTTGGCTCTTGAGTGATGAGCGATGAATGTCTGTAGGAAAGCCGGCCGTTCTTCAGTGAAGGCACCACGAATGGTGAATCTTTGAGGGTGTGTTAACTGAGGGTTTGCCCTGCATAAGTAAAGCCCAGCAAGCCCAGGGTCCATGCCACCACCGTGGGTCCACCACTCTGTTGGCCAGATCAAAGCACTGGGCCTTGCTTACCATAATCTTCTCACCCCATGGCCAGGATGGGCCGCTACACACGGGGAGGGGGGCAATCAAAAAGTGCATAAAAGGCATTTCTCTCTAAGCTACAAATAAAGTCCCTGTGTCCTTTTTCCTTCAGTATCTAATCAAAGTGAATGAGATCAAAACCAAGAAAGGGATTGACCTATTGCAAAACCACATCAAGCACTGCAGCGCACAGTTCAAGTAAGAACGACTGGTAACCTGCCTGCATGCCCTTTCTCTCCAGAAGCACTGGTTGTAGAGGGGACCTGGGGGTGGCTTAACTTGCAGGACCTCTGTTCCTGTAGTCAGCTTGGCCTGTCCTGCATCTTGCCAAAAGTCCTCTTTTCCTAGAGGCAGTGGAGGCAAGAATCTCAACGGGCTGTGTTTCCTCTCTTTAGCTGGCATTTTCATAAGCCACTGTAAAGCAGAAATCTGGGATGCAAAGACAACAGAGTGCTGAGCACTCTCCCTGCATTTAACTGCCTCCAAATCTTTCCTAACACATTTCCTAAAAAAGATTTTTTTTTTCAACTATGAAGCAAAAGCACTGCCTGCGGAAGGCATGATGGGTTCTGAGGCAGGAGCTCAGGGAAGCCTGGGGTCTGTAGGCTTCAGAGCCAGTGCTAAGAACAGGATTTCAGGACATGCCCTTACATGAGCCTCTCCTCTCAGTTTTTTCCAGGAATGTTTAAACACAACAGCAAAACTTAAGAAGTTTACAGAGAAGCTCATCCCGGAGCTGCAGAGTGTGAGTATTCATCTGAAGATGGGTGCAACAAGTAGGAGCAGGCTGGAGAGCAGGGATGTCTTCCCCAGGGCCTCCTCTTCCTCTGCAGAAGTAAACTGAAGACTTTTGCAGCTCTTCACATCTATTAATCATTATTTCTTATGTGCAGTGGCCCATGGAGGGGTTAAATGCAGCCATCACTGGGAGTGGGAAAATTAGTGCCATACCCCAGGACACAGAGTAGGAAGAACAAGTATAAACATGGGTACCAAGGAGGCACTAACATATTCATCTGCCAAGGCCCTAGCTGCTCTGCAGACGTCCAGACTTCTCATGTGTGCTCTTAGCTTTCCATGCCTGTTGCTGCCAACTCAAGCTCTTAATGCATTGCCTCAGGAGCTTTGTTTTGCTGTAGAGGCAGGTCATGTAAGCCTTGTGAACTTCAGCTTTTGACTTTGGGCTCTGTCAGTCATACACAGCCCAGAGACAGAAAGGAGTTTTTCCAAGTGGCAAGGCTTTCAGAGACAGTCTGAGCGCTCCTGTCCCAGGTGGAATGGCGTCCTCCAGGTGCAGCAGAGTGTTTATGTCGGTTTCCTACTATTTCTAGACCTCCGGTCCAGTTTGATTGGGCTTTCTCATCGTTTTCCGTACCTCCTTGCAAGTCAAGATTTGCAGAGGCTTAGGATATGGTCCTCACCCTGATACTGTGTCAGCCTCACTTGTACTCATATCCCCTGGCCCTGTAATGCAGGTCTCCTCTGGGCACCTGTTGCTTTGATTAAATTAATCTGCTTTAGGGGTGTTACCCTGCTTATTCCAATAATTTCTAACCATTCATATTAAAATTCATTATGTAAATAACAAAAAGAGGGGAGGTGCCACCCCAGAACAGGGTAACCAAGCACAGCAAGCAGCATCTTACAAATCCCTCATGCAGACAAACCCCCAGGCTCTGTTTCAGGGCCACATTCATGTGCCAAGGTCCATCAACTTTTTGATGGCTTGGAGGCCTTTTAATTATTTTAATTACTGACACTACCAAGGGAAAAAAAACCCAACCACCATGGTGACCTTCAAGCTGCTGGTTGGTTTTACACCGTGGAGAGCTGCAAACATCTGTTTTCTCAGTAAAATGCAGACTGCCCTCCTGTGGTCTCGCATTTCAGGAGTCCTGGTGCTGGGGACATGTCCCCTCCCCTCAACGAGGTTTCCACTGAAGTGCTTCTTGCACATGCCACATACCATGGCACTGCAGGGGACGAGAGGCAACCTCCCACCGTAGGAATGGGGCTTGGTGTGTCCCACGGACGTGGGGAGGTGGCGAGGGCAGAGGGTGGTGTGGGGGCATCTCTGCTGCGCCCGGGAGAAGGAGTGGGATGACGCAGCTGAGGCAGGAGCCTCCTGCTGCCATGTGAGTGGCTCACTGTGCTCCGGCACCTTTTAGATGAAGAGCAGGCAGGACGAGGAGAAGAAGCAGCTCTGCTCTCTTCGGGATCAGCTGAAAGCGGCGTTGCAGCTGGAGCAGAAAGAGGTGAAGTCTGATCCTTCTTGCAAGGGAATGCGGGGTGGTGCCTGTAGAGGGCATGGCAGCTGCTGATACAGTGCCTGCCCGCTGCTGCAGAAAGCTGTGGGGTTTCTGGTGAGCTCTGGGGGAGTACGGGGTCCCTGGCAGTCCCGTGAGGACATGCTCTTGGTTGCCAGCGATACTGATGGGGTAGGGCCTTGCTGCTCGCTCTTTCTTCCTGCCAGGACCCTGGGAACAAACAGGCAGGGTACAACATGCACCAGCTGCAAGGAAACAAGCAGTACGGCACGGAGAAGTCGGGGACCCTCTTCAAGAAAAGTGATGGGTAAGTTGGGATCCAGCATGCCCCTTTCAATTGTGCTTTGGTGTCCTGGGGCCAGAGCAGGGCTCACCCAGACCAACCTCCTCTCCCTGGGGTCGCCACAAGGCAGAGAAACAGTACAAACACGCATGAAGGTGCGCTCGACACTGTCCCAGCCTCTAACAGCTTTCAACACAGAGCTCCAGGCAGCTTGTGTCCATCTTTTAGCTCTGAGGACATTCCTCTCCCATGAAGCTGCCCACTGTCCTCTCAAGCCCTGTGAGAGGGGGTGAGGACCCCTGCACGCACTGCAGGAAGCCAGAACCAGCTCCCTGTCTTTCCTTCCAGCAGGGATCCCACCGCCTTTATCCAACACCCCACAGTCTTGTGCTGGGAGGCACAGGGAAGGGTCAGTGCTGCTCCCCCTCTCCCGGGCACTCATGCCTTTCCAGACCCCCCCTCCATCACCTCTGCTCTGGGATAAGGAGCCCTGACCCCTCCACCCTTCCTGGGTGGGAGGTGCTCAGGGGTGCACTGGGCATTTATATACAGTCCTGGTGATGTTTTCTACTCTGTTCTTCCCTCCCTCCCCAGCCCTGATCCATCCTTTGCCCTTTGGACCCCTCTGCCCTCACAGTTCAGTACTGGGCTCAGCTCCCTGACTCTGAGAATTAGGGGAAGGAGCAGAAATGTGGGGTGAATTAGACACAGTGTAGGTCAGTTCTGCCTTGGAGATGGCATCATGGGCCAAAGGGGGCAGAGAGTCAGCAGTCGTCCTGTGCCCCTCTCCCAGGAGCCAGACCCTGAGCTCCTGGAAAGCACTCCACTGTCTTTGGAGAGAGGCTCATCTCCCACCAGTGCATGGGAGCATGCTTGGTGGGAATCACAGGGTTCCTGCGCTGGGAGGCTTGCACACCTGGAAAGGACTGTGAAGTGTCCTAGAAAAATCTGAAACTGGACAGAAAGCAATGAACTGGAACTCGGGAGTCTCATTCACTGCAGACTGAAGTTCAGTGTCTCTCCCAGTCTCCCCTTTTGGGTGTATCTCTTCCACTTTTCCCCTGTGTTACGGTCTGCCCCAAATGGCAGGCACAGGAAAGCCAGCCTGGGAGCAGTTTGGAAGCGATGGTCTTGGATGTTTGCTGAGGGCTTCTGCAAAGGGCTTCGTGCTCTGCTAGCAGGTCCTGCTGCCCTGATTGATGCTCTGCACCTGTATCACCTCCACAGCAGCTGTGCTGCCTGGCTGTACAAGACTGTCTTATGCCATGTGACGGGTCCTTCTCAGCCCAAAACAGACCAAGAGTGACAGACCCCATCCGTGGCAGTCCAGACAGCATGTCTGATGAGAGCTGCAGGCCCGTGCTGTGCCTTGCATGGCTCTTGTGTTTGCCAGCGCTGTGCTGCATTGCACATCTACTCCTCCATGTGTGTGTCCTCTCGGCTGCCCTCTGCTTGTTTCCAGGTTGAGAAAAGTCTGGCAGAAGAGGAAATGCACCATCAGCAATGGCTACCTGACCATCTCTCACAGCATGGTAAGAACGGCTTCTTCCACTCTGCCCTGCTTCTGCCTGGGAGCTGCTGCCGGCCCCTGCAGGGTCCACAGAGCCTGCCACTGCCAGGCACGCCGGTGGCTTCCTGGAGCTCATCAGAGCCCTCGTGCCTGCTGCTTGCCCTCCTGGGCTGCCCTGGCATAGGAAGCTTTCTGTGGAGACTTAAGTCCCTGCAACCCAAGAGAGCTTTAGACAAACACAGGAGGTCCTCGCATGCCTGTGTGTATGGAGGGGCATGAGCCTGGGGACCTAGCTCCAAGTGTGGGGTAGCTGTTGGGAAAGAAAAAGTCCATGTTGCTATTTCTTGCATTGCTCCTGGGAGCAGAAACAAAGACAAAGTGCTGGGCACAAGGCAGATCTGTGGCTCTGCCTCCAGAACCAGGCGGTGCTCATCACCACTGGACCGCAGCCCTTTGATGCTTCCTCATTCTGCTTCTAGCTCAACCGCCCACCAGCCAAGCTGAATTTACTGACCTGCCAGGTGAAGCCAAACACGGATGACAAGAAATGCTTCGATCTGGTTTCCCGTGAGTGCCTGCCCTGTGCTTCCTCCGGGAAGGGCCTGGAGAGGCAGCAGTGCTTTGGACTCAGAGACCCAGTGTGGGCAGGGATGAGGGGAAGCTCTGTAGCTTTGGGACAGCTTGGGGGAGTTACCCTGGGGAAATTGTGCCAGGAGGCATCTCTGCTCAGGAGCAGTGATGCACGCACAGGGTGTGAGATAGACAGCACTGCCGTGGGGCAGTGCAAGCTGTGTGGGGACCATGCAAGCGTAGTTCCCAGGCTGCAGCTTAGCTAACACCAGCATCCCTCGTTCCTGGTACAGGAGCAGGTCCCTTTTCCTGGGGTGCACTGGGGAGGGGCTGAGTGAGACAGTGGTGACTGTCACCCCAGCTGCCCGGCTTGGAGATTACTCCCAGCTCAGGTGTGTTGTGCCCTGCCATGAGCCTGGCAGGCAAGATGGACGAATGGGGTGCCTAGAGGAGATCAGCTCTGTGTGTTTCAGACAACCGCACGTACCACTTCCTGGCAGAGGATGAGCAGGACTGTGTCGCGTAAGTACTGCCAGCACCTCACTGTGGACCAAAAAATGCTCCTCTGGCTGCCGATGAGGAGCCAGCTCTTTGGCTAATTGAGCAGTACACCACAGCCCTTTCTTTGCTTGATGACCTTCCCATCCTGACTGTGTCCCCGTCACTCCGGGGGCGTGGGGGGGTGCTGGCTGGCCATGAGCAGGACATGGAGCTTGATGGAGGCTCCTGGCACCCAGTTTTCTGCTGGAGTTCCATGCAGGACCTTTGTGTGTGGTGGCTGCTGTGCAGGCTGGGGTAGAGCAGGATCTGCCCCACAGCAGTGGGATGAGCCCTGCTGCCCTCCTTGCACTGCAGCCCAAGCGTGGCTGCACAGGACCCCACTCCTAAGTCACTTTCTACCCATGCAGCTGGGTGTCCGTCCTCAGCAATAGCAAGGAGGAGGCGCTGAACGTGGCCTTCAGCAAGGCGCAGGGTGGAGAGGAGAGCAGCCAGGAGGAGCTGACCAAGGCCATCATCAAGGAGGTCAGAGGCATGCCTGGGAACAGGGAGTGCTGCGACTGCTCGGCCCCAGGTGAGAGAGAGTCCATGGCCGTGGGGCTGCCGTGCTTCCTCCCCCTGGACAGGCAGAGCTCTGCCCTGCCCTCCGCAGCATCCAGCTCCTGGAGACCCACAGGCATCTGGGGTCTTGCACTTCCCCTCTGTCCTGCGGTGGAGCTTGTGCCCTGGGGTTGTGGGGGGCCAGTGGGGAAGGAGAGGCAGGAGATGCGCACAAGCTCAGTGGTCTTGTCTCTACAGAGCCCACTTGGCTCTCCGTTAACTTGGGCATCCTGATCTGCATTGAGTGCTCTGGGATTCACAGAGAGATGGGTGTGCATCTCTCCCGCATCCAGTCGCTGTCTCTGGACAAGTTGGCAACCTCTGAATTGCTGGTAGGATGCTGCTGGTGTGCTCTGTCCTCAAGCCTCCCCCTGCTTCTGCTGCGGTCTTCCTGAAACTAAGTTAATTCAGTGGGGTTTTCATCTGTTAAACTGACCCATACCCACCTGTAATTCCCAGGGCTTAGTGGTTATTGTGGCAGGAATTGTCATCTTCAAGGCGGGGGGGGTGTAATTTTGCTGTTGCTGGGTCACCCGTCTCCCTCAGTCCCCTTTCCCCATCTGCGTCCCCTGGTGCAGGGGAGCTGTGGGGCAAGGACAAGCTTGAACTGGGGTAGAGCAGGGTGTAGGGCAGGCAGGGGGCTGGAGACCTTGCATGGGCTGTTTTAGGGCCACGATGCTCCAGGTGCTCATGGGTTTGGTAGGGTTGTGATGGGAGCTGCTGGCAGCTGGTGGGCATCAGGGCAGGGGATGGGACTGTTTGCCCAGATCCAAGCCCAGGGGTTGGTTGCACTGCTGGAGTTGGGAGATCTCAGCAGTAGGAGTCAGAACAGAGTCTCTGGCCATTGGGCACACACATCCTGGCACCCCTCGACATCCCCTCGATACCTGGTCAGGATCTCAGCCTGGAGCTCCCTCTCTTGCTGCCATGCATGTAGAACTGCTGCACGTCCCATGTCACCTCTAGCTTGGCTGTTTTGCAGCTGGCGAGGAATGTCAGCAACTCTGGCTTCAACAACATCATGGAAGCAAATCTCCCCAGCTTTTCCTTGAAGCCCACAGTGCACAGTGACATGTGAGTTGTTCTGCAAGAGCTGGTTTTTGTGGGTTACATATGGGGTCCTCCCCCATGGGGCACACGCTCTGTGGTCCTGTGTGCTCCCTGCAGTGACCGGCCACATGGCACTGCCTGATCTCCTCCCCAGACTGTAACTTCTCTTTAGATGAAATTTCACCAAGTCCAGCAGGAAAGGTTTGATAAAGGAGAGAAGAGTGTGGAAGAGCCAGCAGGACAGCTCAAGGATTGGGCTTGAGGTCAGGACAGGGATTGAGGAATCGGTGCTGGAAAGGGAAAGGCAAGAAGAGAAGTGGAGCTGCCAAGCAGGACAGCCCTGGCTGCACGTCATCAGGGCAGGGAAGGGGGGCAGGGTGGAGCGGGACAGAGAACAGGGACTTGTGCAGTGCAGAGCACTTCATTGTGTCCAGTGGCTGGGGCCCAGGGTCAGTGGGATCAGTGTCAGCATCGAGCAAAGATCTGCTGAGGATGTGGGAACCCCTGTCCTTCATCCCAGAGTGCCCAAGCCTCTAGGCTCTGCAGAAGGCGAGAGAGCTGGGGTGGCATGGCTGGTACCAGCAATAGCTGGGGGTTTCTCCAGGGCTTAGTGCTGTAAACCTGGGGTGCAGCAGAGCTCTTGGGGAAACATATAGCTGGGGAGCTTTCCGTTAGGGGCCAAGGGGACTTTCAGGAGACTGGAGAGCAGGCAGACCAAGCACTATCAGGTTCCATTACAGGTCTGGAAGTCCTGACAAGGGCACTGTTTAGACAGTGTGGACCTACCCTGCAGTGAATAGGTGGATAAGGAACTGCACTTGGCAGGGAAAAGAGATCTGGGAGAGCAGGAAAATACAACTGGAACAGCATGGTCAAGGTTGCCAGATCCACCCTTCCACTTGGATGCTGGGGAAACTGAAACTGTGTGAAATTCAGCTCTTCCTCAATGGTCTTTTCTGTTTGGAGTACTCCTTCGCCCCTGGGGCACCTGCGGCCACCCCAGATCCCCTGGCCGGTCACTACTTCTGCTGTTCTTGACCTCTCCAGGGGTAGAGACCCAGCTTACTCAGCCAGTCCTTGTCTGGAAGCTGTTCCTGACCCATGGATACTCTCAGCCAGTTCATGCCATGTGGTGTTTCCCAGTCCTTTAGATTTCTGCTCCTTCCCCTAATTCTCAGAGTCAGGGAGCTGAGCCCAGTACTGAACTGTGAGGGCAGAGGGGTCCAAAGGGCAAAGGATGGATCAGGGCTGGGGAGGGAGGGAAGAACAGAGTAGAAAACATCACCAGGACTGTATATAAATGCCCAGTGCACCCCTGAGCACCTCCCACCCAGGAAGGGTGGAGGGGTCAGGGCTCCTTATCCCAGAGCAGAGGTGATGGAGGGGGGGTCTGGAAAGGCATGAGTGCCCGGGAGAGGGGGAGCAGCACTGACCCTTCCCTGTGCCTCCCAGCACAAGACTGTGGGGTGTTGGATAAAGGCGGTGGGATCCCTGCTGGAAGGAAAGACAGGGAGCTGGTTCTGGCTCCCTGCAGTGCGTGCAGGGGTCCTCACCCCTGGCCATGGCAGTGCCTGCACTTTAAATGCATGAAAGTCAAGTTCTCATTTAATTATGTAACTGTGGAGAGGAAGCTTTAAGAAAACCACAGTGTTTTCTAAGAGTTATTATGAATGCTGCTGCAGAGGAATTTGGGGAATGGGACAGAGAGAGGAAAGGTGCTAAACTGGCGGGCAGGTCTGAAGGGGAGAGAGGGAAGGTGGCCAGGGCAGTAGGAGAGGATGGGGATGGCCCCGGGATGCTCACTGTGTCGCTCTGTGGCCCCTAACTCTCATTTGGCTGGTCTCTGCCAGGGTCTTTAGGAAAAATTTCATCATTTCCAAGTATGTTGAGAAGAAATATGCCAAGAGGAGCCCTGCTGCTCAGTGCTCCAGCCTCCCAGAAGCTGTCAAGGACAAGGACATATTTTCTTTGCTCCAAGCATATGCGGAGAACATGGATTTGAGCAAGCCTGTGCTGGCACCCGTGCAGGTATGGCCACCCGTCCCATGGACCCATACGGCAAACAGCTCTGCCGTCACGTCTCCGGCCTGTCCATAAAGTTCCCTGTGCCCAGGAGGGGACAGAGTTTGCTGATGAAAATGGTGCTTTCTGTGAGCTGGGAGGCAGACTTGAGCAGCGTGAGGAACATCATGGCAGAGGGATGTTTTCTGGCTGTGACCCCACAGCCCTCCTCGTGCTCTGGGGGGGGTGGTGCTGGGGGGGGCAGAAGTCATAACCACAAGCCCAAGGCTTTCCAAAAGCCAGTTTGTAGCTGAGGCTCACTTACAAGCTTCTGAGAGGATTTTCTCAGGACATCCAAATCTCACTGTAGGCTGAAAAATCAGGGCAGCATTTTTTCCTGCCAAACCACAGCGTGGGTCCTTGCTGTAAGTGCAAGAAGAGAGTGCAGCCCAAGCCCTTGGAGCTGTGGGCATGCTGCTGTGCCACCCCCTTTGCCAGTAAGGATGCCGGAGGGTATCTTCCAGAATAAAAGCGAAGGAGCAAAATGCTGTGAGTGACCAATGAAGTGAGCAAGAAGCACCATCAGTATGGGATGTCTTGAGATGTCTTGACAAACTGGCAAGTGAGAAGCAGCTCTGCGGGGAGCAGCCATTGCACACCCCGAGGCTCTGGTGAGATCGTGGACTCGGCAAAGTTCAGCCGCTGGCCTGGGGAGAAAAGTCACCTTTGGCTGCCTCAGTTTCTAAATGTGAAAAGGGGACAATTGATTTTTCTTCATGAAGCCATGAGCCATGGCTCTACACATGTTAACTAAGTTCTCCCCAGCCTTGGTGGCCACGACTCTGAAGAGACAGTCAAACCTGTTCATCTCTCAGGGATTTTAAATGCATAAGGACAATCCCTACAGGACAGTGCTCCTGTCTGTGGTGGTGGTGCAGGCAGACACAGTCTCATGCTTGCTCTATTTTTCTTGGTTACAGGAACCTGGGGAGACCATTCTCCACCTGGCAGTGGTGTTGTCTGATCGAACCTCTTTGCATATCGTTGATTTTCTTGTCCAGAACAGGTAAGCTCATGACACCCAGTCAGCTTGTTATGGCTAAGCTGTGCTAATGAAAGGTGCAAGACTGATGATCTTCTCCAAAATGCTCTCAAAAAAAGCAATCAATCACCAGGGCAGGCCTCCCAGCAAACGTGCCTTGGTCTGGGCTTGGGCTAATTACCCCTAGATCAGAGGGGCCTTGGGTTCCCTCATCTCCTCTGGGTTGAGGCGTGATGGTGGTGGTGACCACCTCTTCTTCAGGTGAGGTGGGAAGAATGACACATGTGCCAGCACCGGGCAGTGTATGCTGTGCCTGGGGCCGGCAGCTCTTCCCAGGGGTGCTGACATTATCCACCCTCTGCTGCAGCGGGAGCCTGGCAAAACAGACGGCAGAGGGGAACACACCACTTCACTACTGCTGCTCTCACAACAAACCCGAGTGTGTCAAGCTGCTGCTGAAGGCCAAAGCCAACATTACAATCAGTGAGTGGATACGGAACCTCCCCCCGCTAACCATGCACACATGGGGTGTCTTCTCAGCTTTTCTCTGGAAACACCTCCTTACCCTTGCTAAAGTGCTCAGCAGTGCTTGTCTGCGGCTGGGGAGAGGTGGGTTGATGACAGCATTGGGTGGGCACCCTGCCTGTGCAGTGACAGCCTCAGCCCCAGGCTCTTCTCTGCATGTCCAGCAAGGTGCCGTCCTCTGACACTGCTCTTGGTTGGCTCTCCAGGCTCAGAGGCATTCACAAGCTGTTTTGGAGTGCACATGTGCACTCCATCCGCAAGTGGAGTGACCACATCTCACAGGTTCCTGCTCTTGGCAGCCTAGGATAGAAGCAGTGGCTTTGCTGTCCAGCTCGGAGCAGGGGATGCTCCTCTTTGCTCCCCAGGGAGGAACCAGCTTGCTCTGGGGTGCTGCTGACCCTAGGGAGCTCATGCCTCTGCCGCAATTCACTTGTCCCCTCCAAGGTGGGCAGGTGACTGGCAGCTCTATGGTGGGACTGCGCTGGGGAGTCTCACTGAGCTGGCAGAGCCTAGCAAGGCAAATACTGCCTGAGCTGCTCTTCCACATGAAGTACATGCACAACAGGAACCAAAATAGGCACTTAACTCATTTTCAAAGCCAGCGGTGCAATGCTGGAGAGCAGGTGGGAGGGCTGCCGAAGCACTGGTTCAGAGATGGCGTGTGCTGGTGCTCTGGAGCCCAGATCACACGTCCAGCCATTCATACTGCCCGTGAATCTCCTCTTCACAACACAGAAGTGAGCTTTAAAACTAGGATCCTGGGTGAAATGGGAAGGCACAAATGTTTCCACCATCAGGTATCAGCCAAGCTGGTAGGTGCATTGAGCCTTGCCTCCTGGGATGCTCCCTTTTCCTGCTCCAGACAGCATGGTGGCAGCCCCTTGGAGGGCAGAGAGACCATGGTGGGGTGGCAGGAGCTGGGTGCATGTCCCCCAGTTGCACAGTGATTTGGTAGCCAAAGTTGTCACTGCCTCGGCCATGCCGGGCACAGCCATGCCTGGTCTGTCGTTACTGACTACCACTGGTACCTCGAGCATCTTGAGTCCACAGTGCAGACCCTGCCACTGGTCTGGGGATGCCCTGCAGTCCCTCAGGGTGCCGACCTCTTGCTGTTCCCTTCTCCCACCCTCCCGCTTCCCCAGAGTCCCCACAGTCCACCTCTCCCCCCCAGTCTCGTGCTGCAGCTCTGCAAGGAGGGATTTTGCAGAAATAATAACATTGCAGAGTTACAGCAACGCCATCACAGGTCCCACCCTCAGACCTCTCAGGTATGGAAGGGGTTTTAGTTTGAAGTGAAATGGAAGTAAAACAGTTGTCACTTGTTCACACTTGCGCTCAAATCCCTGCTTGCAAGCACCAGGACCTGGGTGTCCAGGCAGTCTGTGTCTCCACCAGGCGTCAGAACACACGTACTGGGTCTCCCCAAAGCTCCCTGAGGTGACACAGAGGACAAGGGGTGCTGGCTATGGAGTCTTCCTCTGGTTTTGTAGCCTTTAGGCTCTGACAGTGACTGAACTCTTCTGTCCCTCTATCCCATCCCGTCCCTGTGAGTCATCAGGACTTGTGCTCCTTTTTCTCCCTGTCTGGGTGCCTCAGCTCCTGCCCTCTTGTTCATCTTTCCAGCACCATCCCTTAATGGCCTGAGCCTTTGTTTTGGTCTGAGTTTAGGCTGTCCCTTCTTTTAGGCTTATTTGCCCCCAGATGCCCTGAATGCAGCACTGCTCTTCAATTTGCTGAACACAGGGTGGGCTCATGGTGTTCAAAGCTGCTGTTTTTCCCCCACAGCTAATGAAGCGGGAGAGACGGCCCTGGATGTTGCCAGGAGGATGAGACATCCCTTGTGTGAAGAGCTGGTAAGACATTGTGTCTCATCACCTCTTCAGTTTTGGGGTGCATCCCAGTGGCAGAGAGCAGCGGGGAACCCACACCCATGTGGATGTGTCCTGCAGAGCCACCTGCACCCCTCAGCACCTCCAGTGCCAGTGTGGGATGCAGTGGAAGGTGTGGAGGGGCCCAGCAGGTGCTGGCCCTGCTGACATGGGGTCCCTCAGGGCAGAGTGGTTTGGGACAGGCCAGGCAGGGGTCACATCGTGCCTGGGCAGGGGGACCTGGAACTGTACTGAGGCTGTGTGGGGTAAGCGCATCTCCTCAGCAAGTCCAAGTCTTGCTTCTGCCATGGCCTGATTTGTGTGTTTGGAGACCTTCGCAAAACCCCCTCGCTGCTGGGAAGCACTGCTCGCAGCTTGCAGATGTTGCCCTGATGGGTGGTCAGAGGTGGGGCCAGCAGCTGCCTGTGGGGCTGGTGGGGCAAGGCAGGGCTGGAGGGTCCTCAGGGAGATCCTCTGTGCCCCAGCTGCTGCAGGCCCAGAGCAATCAGTTCAACCCCAACGTCCACGTGGAGTATGAGTGGTGGCTGGGCCAAGATGACATGTATGAGAGCGACGAGGACCTGGATGAGAAGGTGAGGTCCTGGCAGGCTCTGGCTTGGGGCCACACATGCCGCTGCTGCCCTGGCTCCCACTGCACTCGAGCGGGTGCTCCTGTACCTGTCCAGCCACACCTGCTCTGTGTAACCCGCAAATATCCCTTTCCCAGCTGGGTCCTGAGAAGAGGGGGTCTGCCCGTCCCCAGAGCTGCTACCACCCACCTGCTGCAGCTCCCAGGCCAGAGG